CCTATTTTTTTTCCCAGTGTGCTCGTCCGTCGCTATTGAACCTTTGTCTGTCAAGCCAACCAGAGTCAAATCTGATTAGTTATGTTGCTTTGTTTTCCCCCCACAGGTTGTTTTAGTTGTTTTTGTGTCTTTAATCTAATAAAATACTTGGTAATTTGCATTAGCCTCATCCTTCCCAACCACAAACCCTGACATTTACACTATAAAAAATAGTATGAACAAAAAGACATCACAACAAAGGCGTTTATATTACTTCAACTTATTTAAAAAATATTTATATCAGATTTCAACTATTTGTTTAAAATCATACAAAGTTCAATTTAATATTTTAAGTCAGTTGGACTGATGTAAGTTGAGATGACTAGACAGGATAATGTGATTCAACTAAAAAGTGTTTTTGACATTGTACGACAGATGTACATGGAACAAACAGACAAATAGGTTTAGAATAAAAGACGAAGTGCTAATGCGGGCCATGATTCATTTTAATGTCAATTTAATTGCTAATGTGAGTTTAAGATTACACACTTAGATATTGCTTGATATTATTAGCAAGTTTGCTATCCCGGGAGAAAACCCTGAGCTCTGAGATAATTGAGCCCAGGGCTTCCATCTCGTCGAAAAGCATGTAAGGGGGTACGAGATCAAGTAGTTCTCGAGAGCTCCCCCTGTTAAAAGAGGAAAGAGGAAAGATGGGGTGGATGGGGGGCTTCTCTGGAAAGCGAAGATAAAGGAGTAGTTTTAGACAGGCTATTTATAGTGAGTTTGGACTTATGTGATTGGTTTACTCATGATTGATAAAACTTCACTTAAATTTGTTGAGTTTTTCTAATGAATTGACTTCAAAGCACTATTAGCCATAGTATTGTAAACGGAAAAAATAAGAAGCAAAAGTGTCCGATTATATATTGAATTTTAACTGATGCATTCAAAAGTTGTCTCATACTGATTTATTTAGCATTTCTACAAAGGAAATAAATGTGTTAGGGATGAAAGTAATGTGAATAATCTTCGCCTGACAGCTCGTTTTATTAATCTTATTTAACTTTAGGAACAGTCAGGAAAGACAACAAAAATCATGTGACTAAGTGACTCATGCTATAAAGTGTCCAATTTTCTTCTAATAGGCCCCAAGACTGCGCTCCGTTGTCTTTTAAAGTGAGACTGGAGAGAAAAATACAGTGTCAGACTGAAAGCTTTTTTTCTGAGAAAAAAATAAATAAAAAAATAAGCAGTCTAAAAGCTGTACTACCCCTCAATCTTTTTGACAAAACAATGAAAAGCCTCTGTTTCTAAAAGCACTTGTACCCATCCCTGCATAAATCCCATGAAGCTAACAATTACTCTTTAGTGCGGACACTGACGCCTGTGTCAATATATAGGCCATATAGAAAAATGTGCTTTTGTTTTTTAAAAGATGCATGAACGCTAACCTGCCAACGCTGGCACCACCACCCATTTAATCACAGAGAAAATGCTTGATGGCTGCTGTATGCTTCGTTCAGTAGCTCAGGCTACAATTCATCGCAGGATCAGATTTTACAGCGGACTCAATGCAAAAAAAGCTGCTTTTCAAAACGGAAGCCAGTTTCTTGCTTCCCCTTAACAACATATAATTGTGTTATGAATATATAATGTGCCTTTCATAAGGAATAAATCCCTCTGATGTAATCTGCCGTCTATGAGACTGCCTCAACGTTTTGGCTATTGACACACAGTCATGCAATTTGCTTCTCATTTCATGGACTTGAGAACCGATTCAGTTCAGGATAATGATGTTGACAGTTGAGCTGTTTGGGATGTGATGCACTTCCTGGGCACAGGTTTAGTAGGGTGTAGGGATGAAGTATCCTCACCACCTCATGTTTCCTTCCCGGGCTCAATGAAAATACAGTATGTGCTTCAGCCTACTCTTTTTTTGCAAGGTTTTTGCAAGGTATTGGATGCAAATAGAAGTACAATGGCAAGTTTAGGGTTGGAGAAGGTGTAGATGTTAATAACGATGATGGTTGGGTTTACGGTTGGGGAAGGTGTAGACGTTAATGACAGTGATGGTTGGGTTAAGGGTTGGAGAAGGTGTAGACGTTATTATCCATGATGGTTGGGTTTAAGGTTGGGGAAGGTGTAGATGTTAATCAATGTGATGGCTGGGTTTAGGGTTGGAGAAGGTGTAGACGTTAAGAACGATGATGGTTGGGTTTAGGGTTGGGGAAGGTGTAGAAGTTAACAAAGATGATGATTGGGTTTGGGTTGTGGCAGGTGTAGATATTAATAACTGTGATGGTTGGGTTTAGGATTGGGGAAGGTGTAGAAGTTAACAAAGATGATGATTGGGTTTGGGTTAGGGCAGGTGTAGACATTAATAACTTGATGGTTGGGTTTAGGGTTGGGGAAGGTGTAGATGTTAATAACAGTGATGGTTGCGTTCAGGGTTGGGGAAGGTGTAGACATTAATAACTGTGATGGTTGGGTTTAGGGTTGGGGAAGGTGTAGATGTTAATAACAGTGATGGTTGGGTTTAGGGTTGGGGAAGGTGTAGATGTTAATAACAGTGATGGTTGGGTTTAGGGTTGGAGAAGGTGTAGTGGTTAATAACAGTGATGGTTGGGTTTAGGGTTGGAGAAGGTGTAGATGTTAATAACAGTGATGGTTGGGTTTAGGGTTGGAGAAGGTGTAGACGTTAAGAACAATGATGGTTGGGTTTAAGGTTGGGGAAGGTGTAGATGTTAATAACTGTGATGGTTGGGTTTAGGATTGGGGAAGGTGTAGAAGTTAACAAAGATGATGATTGGATTTGGGTTGGGGCAGGTGTAGGCATTAATAACTGTGATGGTTGGGTTTAGGATTGGGGTAGGTATAGACGTTAATTACGATGATGGTTTGGTTTAATGTTGTGGTAGGTATAGACATTATTAACTGTGATGGTTGGGTTTGGGTGTAAAGTAGGTGTAATACAGCGCCATCTTCCCAACAACACTGTTTTGATATGTCGGTTTCCGTTACTTCAATTAAGCCTCTAACGTACTCCAAGTTATGCCCTTTCATGTAACACTCCTGTCTTGCAATCCACAGACAGACCCTACTCTCTACACATACATTTTGTTACAAGTTTCAGATCACACATCACTGTCTACATTTCTGTAAACTTGAAATACGTTATTTAGGGTGTGTTTTGTTGTATGTTTCAGATACACGTCCTTCTTGTACAGGTCCAAGTAAAGGATGACAGGGAGTGCTGTACAGATCACCTATCCACTGACCTTAACCTAAACAATAACATTTTCAAAAGTAAACATAAGAGAGAAGTGCACTGTTACCATGTATAGTAGTTTGACTATAATTTTACAGTGGTTTTATCTCTATTGTGGAACCAGACTGGGAACATCGTACAAAGTAAGCTACTGAGCAAACTGACCACACCAGATGTACAGGCGAGGCAAACGTATTTGATTTAAAATCACAGACACAATTAATTTGTTTTGCAGTATTCATTTGGTGCTGTGGAAAGTACCACACAAAAAGAGTCAGTTTTCCTTTATGAGATGTCCCTGTAAATACCATAATTGTGAAAAGGAAAAAAAGTTGTTGGCGTCATACTGCCTTACAGCCTTCATTTTGTTTAGAAAATGCAGTCAAGCGTGTACTGAAGTGCATTTTTGCAGTCTCGCAGTAAATGTAGGCTGAAGCACTTATTTCCAATGAGCCTCTGTTGGATATTTCTCTCCACTGAATGATCATGATATGTGTGTGTTTGTCTGGACACCAAGAGGGTTACAAATGCCAGTTATGGCTCCACTGTCACCACAGAACGACTGTCACACTTAGTAGATGCCGAGGGCATTAGCAGGAGTGAAGATAGTAACTTCAGCACGTTAGTAGCGGTATAAGGCGCTCTGACACAGTTGTGGCAGTGTTAGATTCGTTAAAGAAGATTTGCTTCTGTGACTTTGTAAGCTGCGCTGTTCAGAGAATATACTGAATTTTAGACTTTCCTCTCCATCCTATTGCTCCTAGAACAGAACAGGACAGAAAAAATAAAACAAGAGAAAGCAACAGGAAGAAAAGTTCTGGCAGGAAGCCCAGAGTGTCAGAGATTTAAAGCAAATCCCCCTGATGGCAGAGTGATGGGCTGCTGGGAGATGTCAGGGTAAAGGGATGAAGAGATGGTCTTGGGGTTAAAGGGGCAGGAAGGATCAACACGCCATTACGGCTAATCAAGTAATGCCTAATGGCTATGAGCCGGAAAAATTACAAGAAAACATGCCTACATCTGCAGCAAGTTAAATCGGAAGCTGATTTACAGAAAGACCGAGAGATCGTACGTCTCTAAATAGTTCTCAAAATGCTCTTCAAATATAATGATGGAAAAATTGAAAGTGCCTTAGCGAGTGAGAGACGAGAGAGAAAGAGGTCACCGGTCGGTTAATTTCAATGGCGCTGCCGCAGGCGACTGATTGCTTCTACATGATGGACAGAGAGACAAAAAAAGAAAGACAAGCAGAAAGTGCAAGTCAGAGGAAGTGCTCCCTATGGAGAAAGCGAAGGCACACTGTGCAGTTATGAGATTTCCTCTTGAAATGCATTTTTCATGAGTGTTTAACAGCCGCTGGTGCACGTCTATGAGCGGCAGGTGCTCCGCTGACTGCATTAACTCCACCGAACGACATGCTTGCTTCCAAACAGCTTCATATCCTTAACAAAACACGAGCGGTACATCAGAGCTTAAATCAGTGCTTAAAATAGGACAAAAGCAAACGCAACACCTCCTGCTTTGATCAAACACACCCAAAAAAGGCAACCTAGGTAGGAGGCTTGCTAGCTTTTTTAACGTAGTGTGTATGTTTACACAACAGCGGTTACCCACCTCTAAAACATTTACAACCAAAGAGCTTATGCAATTTGGCATGTGTGTTGCAGCACCACCAGATCTGGCAACCCTGCTGTGGATGCACTGATTGGAACGGCGAGGAAAGAGACAGGAGAGAAGAGGAGAGCCTTACCTGTTGTCATTCAGCTGTGTGTATCTGGGCTGAGGGTCTGGATCTCTGTCATTCACATCATAACTGGCGTCAGGATCCTTAAAACAAAACAGTGTAAATCGAAAGCCTCCGCTTTAGGGCTGTCACTGAGAGAATATACTCTGTTTTTTTGTCTTGCAATGCTTGGATTTGTCTTTTTAGGCACTGAATCTGAATATTCACAGAGGTGATATGCAAAACTACGTTTTAATAATCTAGTAGCTGGTCTAATTAGGCTAATTCAGGGCCATGTCCACTGCACCAATGTGTTTCTGAAGGAGCAAACTGACTGCTGATTTAAATTCAATTGGTAGAGATGGCCAAGGTGAAAATGCCTCCAACCCCTGAGACACCGGAGGCGAGAAACATTTGAGTAGGGAGCATTATGGGATAGAATGTACAATAAGGCTGAACTGAAATATTCTGTAACATCTCCAAATACCTCATGAAGCCACTGTGAAGAGTCTCATTTATATGCAAAACCAGGCATTACGCAAAGTTTTCATAATCTTCAATGTATTACATTTTATACTGTGTAAAATGAGAAAATTGCGTATTCCTGAAACAGAACATTAACAATTCAGTGAAGCAGAAATGTGTAAAATTACACATTATCAAAAGGGACTAGTAAGTGGGCCATCTGAATGACTCATCGGTGTTAATGAAGCCCTTTATAATTAGGCTGATTTGGGGTCACGTCCACCACATGCATATCAGACATGCTTCTTCATGTGTTCAGACTGAGCTCCATGGCCTGAAACCGAAGCTTTTGAAATGATTTCAGATGTGAAGTAATGGCCAAAGAAGTCCATCTGTCTGCATTCAAGTCCAATAATTAAAAATAGCACTGACTGCAATAGCCTTCTATCGCATAATGTTCAGTATGGTATGATATAAATGTAATGTTTTTCATTGAGATTTGATGGATGTTTTGATAGCATGAATAGAGTTTACCTTGGCAGTGCTGATAGTCTAAGAAGAGCACAATGGGTCAACAACAAGCTATAAAGATTATATATCTCAATTCAATTGACTTTTTTTTAACATATAGTGCTTAAGAATGCTGCGGAGGTAGGCAGCTCAGGTTTTGAAACAGTCAATAAATGAATAATGCATGTCAATGTCAATTTATTAATAATATAAAACAAGATATTCGATGTACAAAAGAGGGCAGAGCTTATGAATGAATCATAAATGCCTCAAAAAGGAAAATTAAATCAGAAAGAATCAACTTTTTGCATCAATTTAATTCATTTGACAAATTTTAGACTATTGATCACAACAAAATGTTTTTTTTATTGCATTTACAATTGTTGAGTTAATGGATGAGAGGTTAGGGGATGGGATAATAATGGACATTACATTAATGTTTAAAATTTAATTTGCATTGTCATACAAAAGACCAAAAAAAAACAACCCAGGTTCATTCTGGAAACTTAGCCCCGTGGTAGTTTCTGGAGGCCGTGAAATACGTCCCGGGAGGTCGGTATTTGTGCAGTTTTTGTTTTCGCGAATACGCGAGAGGCCATTGTGCGCACTTTTTCGCTTTTCAAACGCCTCTCGCGAGCACATGCCGTTCGCGCCTGCGCTGTTCTCGCGTGAAAAGCCGCCGGAGGCCGACTGACTGGATGACTGAACGATTGACTGGGCGGCCAGCCAATCGGGCGACCCAGCCACCCTCCTCCTCCTCAATCTTCCTTAAATCCAAGCGACGATTAACAAAAGCTGTTAAAAAAAAAAAAAGCCCTCGTCCGATTTTGACCGTGTTTCCGGATTTCGCCGCATTCTTGCCCTGTTACGAACTCGTTCGCTTTATTTTTTGGATTCTGTTTTTTGTCTTACCTGATTTCTGGAACCGATCTTCCCCGGACTCGAACCCGGTCGTACGCCGCGGCCAGCTCCTCCTCCAGTGGGAAAGCCCTCCACACGGAGGAGGTGAGCCGGCAAACGCGAAGAGGAGTGGCGTCACACCACCCCGTAGCTTTCACTTGAATAAACGAAATGCGGCCATATGTAACTCCCGCCACGTAAATCGTCGTCTCCAGAAATGTCTGCGGAGCTACGTTTTCAGAATGAGCTTGGGTTGGAATAAATGGTCCAGTCCATAACTAAAAAACCATAATGTGATCCGAACCGTGAGATTTGTGATCTGTTACACCACTACTGAACACTAATAAAAGTATACAAATATTAGCTCTTTTGTTTTCCTCACATAGTTTTTGGCCAGATCAGGGTGGTCCTTCTCAATGCCGTCATCTAGAATGGTCACGACCACTCCTCGCCCAGTGAACCCTTGAGCCCAAGCCTCCTTCACATTCAGGTCTCCATGGCTGGGATTGTACTGCAAAGAACACACAAAAAAAGTCCACCATTACTCAAAATTTCAACTCGCAAGTTCCCAGGAAGCAGTCAAAACAGCCAATTATTCCTCAGCTCTTTTATTTCCCCACAGCAAAGGCAAATGTTGGAAACTGCAAAAGCTCCTGTGTGCGGCGCAGAGGAACAGGGGCCCTCCGAGTCATTCTGGGAGATTGTGGTTAACCAAGCCTCGCACAATTTGACCGAGTCGTCCCAGTAGGAGACGGCCACCTGCAGTACTTCACACACACACTTGGATGTGTTTACTAAGAAAGGCCCAGCCGCAAGAGCTATTGCTAATGACAGATGACTGCTCACACTTTTTCCTCCCAGATGGCACCCTGTCTGCAGGACCATCCCAGACAAGGTGCGCAAACTCATTCCTTTTAACCTGACAGCTTTTTCCCCATGGAGTGAGCTTTCCTCGTTCCATCTTATTCCTCTCACTCTTTTTCATCTCCTCACACTTTGCCTTATTTTCAACGCCATCTGTTAGAAACGACACGGCTGGATTTTTCCTTCACAGTGCAAAGATAAACGCAAAACATACAGTAAAAGTGGAAATTGGGTGCCGAAACACAATGAAAAAACCTACAATTGGCACATCGTCAGATAACTGCCCTCTTCACAACCTTGACAACAAGCATACAAATAAGCAGGCAGAATCAAATTGCTCATCGCTCTGTGTTGCTTTTTCGGAGTAAACAACTTAAAAAGCATTCATTCCCTTGTCAGCTATGATACGATCTCCATTTTGGAGTATGAAAGCACAAAAAGCGCTCGCGTTTGGGGTAACGTCTGACAGTAACACGTACAGATGTGCTTTAAAAGAGGTTGTGAAGGAGCCGCAACTTTAACAGATTAGTATGCTAATGGGGAACGGCAGCTCTTGCGCTTGTTTTGTCATCCGTGGCCCAGGATGCTCTTTGGTCGTTCGGTTCATGCATTAATATGTTTTGGACGACAGCTCGTCTTCTGAATGCAGAACGAAGCTTTTAAAGCAATCTATGCAAACAAACATTTGAAGGCAGGCAGATATGAGTGTGTATTTATGCGCACGCCCACACACACACGGTAATTATTTTGTGTACGTTTTATATCGGCTCGGTGTGTCAGAGTCTGTCAACTCTTAATGAAATGATTTCAAAAAGATTCAGCAAAGGTTAATATGATGTTGTGCCTTCTCTGTCGGGGGAACGTGACCATAAATACATTAGCTCAATTTAGATTTGGTGATCATCTGTGTGTTTGCACGGGTCACAGCGCTAACCTGAAAAACAAATATTAAAATATTAATGGCGTATTTATTGGACCATTTGAGCTGGCCTGAAATTGCAATCATTTCTCTGTGATGTTTTTCAAATTCACACTGAATTTTCTGCAGGAAACATTAGTAGCAATAAACACTTTAGGCTGCACTGAAACTACTGTCTTTCATTCAAAATACATTTGATTATATTGGATTAAGTGAAAAAAAAAACATGGTTTCTATGATTTTAACCTGTTTTATTGAATTTGACTTTAAGCAAAAAAGAAAGCCCCTAGAAAAAAGGTCTCTATGGGATGTTGTTCTGAGGACTCAATTATAAATCATAATATACAGGAATGAATGCGTATGTGTTCTGTTGTTACGATGATTTTTACTTCATATCTAATAAGCGTGTTCTGTGCAACTTTCAAAACAAATTTTGCAAATACATTCTTTATAAGCTTCCTATTGAAGAACAGCTAGCTACAATGGCTGCTTGAGGGTAGTAGCATTAGACTGATGTATAGTTTGTCAAGATTACTTGTGTTCTTTTTTAAGTACACTGTAAACAATAAAGGTTTATTTACAGGTAATTGTTTGTATTTTTTTTTACCGATTTTTCCATTTTTTCATTATACAGAGAAATAGCTGTTGTTTTACAGATATTTTTTTAATAAAAAAATTCTAACATTAAATTTACAGTTATTGCTTGTATTTTTTGTATTGTTATTTTTCTGCTGTTTTTTTTAAAGGAAATTTAATATATTTTTAGAGAGTAAAACTTAATTTTACGTTAATATTTACAGACTATTCTTGTTAAAATAGGCAAAAAAAAAATTCAGTCAAATTGTTTTTATTGAAGACTCATATGAAGATTAGCGTGAGGTTAATAATGTCAAATAATAGCCTATTGTTTGTAGGCTACATACATGCACTGTAAACTATAAAATGTTTTTTTACTACTCTTTACTACTACTGTTACTATGCTAATTGTTACGATCACCAGTGATCTAGCGGCTGTGGATCGCTGGAAAACTACACACGCGCTACTTTAACGAACTACAACTCCCAGCATGCACCTCGCACACCTGGGTTCCTAATTCTGACTGATTACACACAGTCAGAAGATCCTTATAGACTGATGTCAGGGATCATAAACTCAGCACACACAGACACATCATTGCTGAGTCTCAAACTTTTTAGTGAGCATATCGACGCATTTCCTCTAGCCTTGTCGCGTTGGTTATTATTTTGTTTGCCGCCTTTACGCTTGGGATTATCTATATGCACCTGTTTGTTTCTGTTTTAAACTTTAATTGCAAGACGATTTTCTTAATTAACTGCTATTTGATCCATAACATTGTTGTGCAGGCGTCCTCAAATGACACTAACCTTGTTTTTTTTTTGTGAAACGATGACCAAATGTGTTATTTCTAAAAAAGAAATAAAAAATTACACATATAACAAATATGTATTTTTTCAAGCAAATTGTTTTGGAATTCAACCTACATATGATAAAAATATTTGTTATACTATATTACAGTTATAGTTATATTTACAGTGTTTTATGACAACAGCGATTATTTGTACCTAAGCTTTTTTTCAATCATTCTTTAAAATACTTTTTTTCATGCACAATTACATGAATTAATGTGTATAATTACAGTAATAACCTGCATAATTACAGTAAAAATCATTATAATCACATTAATTAATCTGTATAATCACAGTAATAACTTGTATAATTACAGCAATATTCATAATAATCACATTAATCAATCTGTATAATTACATTAATAACCTGCATAATTACAGTAATAATCTTTAAAATTACATTAATCAATCTGTCTAAATACAAAAATAAATTAATTATTAATATGACAGTAATAATTGTAAAATTGCAGAAATAATTAGTAAAATCACAATAGTAACCTGTATAATTACAGTAATAATCATTATAATCTCATTAATTAATCTGTATAATTACAATAATAACCTGCATAATTACAGTAATAATCATTATAATCACATTAATTCATCTATAAAATCACATTAACAACCTGCATAATTACAATTATAATCTTTAAAATCACCTTGATTAATCTGTATAATTACAAAAATAAACTATATATTTACAGTAATAATTAGTAAAATTACAGTAATTACCTGTTCTTTTCTCTATTTTTTCACAGCTTAAATGCAAATGATCAACAGTAATAAGCTGTAATTTAAAGAATTTTGACCGTAAAGTATGTTCACTGTATTTTTTTACAGTTTTTGCATGTAATTTTGTGAAATTGTTATTTTCTGTAATTTATCTCTGGAAGCCCTGCTGTCAGTCTTATGACCGTTTTTTTACTGATTATTTTTTTTTTTTACAGTGCACTGACAAACTGTATGGACAAAAAATTCTTTTGAGCTTCGCGTAATAAAGAAAGTCATTCATGTTTGGGATGTGAAGGAAAGTAAAAACTGACAATTTGAATGTTTGAATTAACCTCACCTTCATAAATGTTCAATATTCATCAGGCATCTTCATCTTATCTGTGGGTGTTCGTTGTTTGTTGCTTTATGTGGTTACAGGAATGCTTTGTATTCTACTTAAATGCACAGAGTCGCCTCAACAAAGAAACAACATTCAATTCCCTTTCATGTAGCTTTCTGACACTAGAAACTAAGGCAAGCTGAAAGGGTCCAATTGCACAATCCTCTTTTGAACTCTTCTCGGCCTCGGTCAGGTCAGAAAAGTAGTTTCAGAAGCTGGAAAAAGTTTGTGTGAAAAATTCCAAACAACATTTCCGTCCTTACAATAACATGCTCTGATGTATCATTCACAATGAGACATTTATGAAGCAAGTGAAAATGCTCTGTTTTGATGTCATGCCATCTTGAGACTACAAGCACACAGAATGCTGTTAATGTATTTCAAAACAGACATGGGGGATTTAGAGCAGGGGAAAAAATCAGAGAGAATGTGGAAGCGCGCAGATCAAGGGAAAACGCCTTTCCACCGCAGAAGCATTTTAGACACGGTGCATTCAAAACCACAATGTACAACCACAAAATAAATACATGTGTACTTTCCACATACCAGGTACCACTGCTGGGGGAATTTGGGATCTGTGGGTTCCATGTGAATGTCTCTCTTGCGTCTCCGCTTGGCAATCTGCTGCTCTGCCCAAAGCACCTGAAAATAACACACAGATTAGAGGGCGATATTTCGAATATAACACACCCACGTCCTTGCGATTCTTCTCCATTTTCACCTTTAACTAAGGATGTGCGTCCCTTTCGCACTGTTCGTCCTCACTCTAAAAATACCTCCATTTCAACACTCACCAGCACCGTTCTTTTCAATCTGCTGTTTTATAGCATTCCATTAAGCTGTGTGGTGTGTGTTTGCACTTCAGCTTGCTTTTGTTTAGCTCCGGTACACAAAATACATATTTTTTTGTTATCAAATTTAAAAGATTTGAGTCTTTCTGTTTAAAAAAAGATTTACCCATGCTCTAAATTGTTTATAAAGAGAGAATTTTTTTCAATAAGAACAGATTTAATTTAGGCTTTTATTTACATTATAGACATATTACATTACAATATAGAGATTTTACAGCATTCAATGTTAGTCATGGAAGCTCAATCATGCTTGCTTGATGCGCAAGAACTCATGAGGTTCATTCTTTTAAGTCACATGGCATGTTTGAGCTACCAGATCAACCACTAGCTATGTTTCATCCACCTCCAGCCTCCGGCGCCTAGACTTCAGCTCTGCACAAGAAGTTTGGCCAGAAGAGAAATGGCCATGCCCAACTGAGCCTGGTTTCTCTCAAGTGTTTTTTTTCCTCCACTTTCGTCAAGTGGTAAAGTTTGTTCCTCGCCACTGGCTTGCTTGATTCGGTCTGTGGATTTGCTCTTCAGTGTTTGGACTTTCAGCAGTGAAAATTAAACCACACTGAACTGAACTAAACTGAATTTCAACTCTGAAAACTACACTGACACAGATTCAATTTACTACAACTTCTATGTTAAGCTGCTTCGACACAGTCTACATTGTAAAAGCGCTATAGAAATAAAGCCAAAAAAAATGTAACCTATTTTTATGCACATTTTGTATTATCGCATAAAAAATGCTTGATGGAAATGCAAAGATGTGCATAAATGGGAATTAAAAACACATATAACACCTATAACTGAGTAGGATAAACTTTTTAATCGATTAGAAAAAAATGGACATAAACTACGATGGAGACACTTTTACCGATTAAATTTCAGTGTGATCATTAAAGAAGTCATGTGATTTTGTTATAGGAGATCATGGGATGATAAAATAGGGTGCTTTGGACAGCATTAATGGACAAACCAGCAGAGCGAAAACATTGTAAATTTTTTGGTCACTGGTCATTCTAAAGGGCAGTGCGGTGGCTCAGTGGTTAGCACTGTCAACTCACAGCAAGAAGGACGCTGGTTCGAGTCCCGGCTGGGTCAGTTGGCGTTTCTGTGTGGAGTTTGCTTGTTCTCCCTTTGTTCGTGTGAGTTTCCCACAGTCCAAAAACATGCGATGTAGGTGATTTAAGTAAATTAAATTGGCCTTAGTGTTGGCCTTAGGAGATTTGCTCCATAAAACATATGCTGGAATAGTTGGTGGCTCAATCCACTGTGGTGACCTCTGATATAGAGACTAAGCTCAAGAAAAATGAATGAACGGATGAATGAATGAATGAAATCAATTTAATTTAACAACTCTACTCGCTGACTACTTTTTTACCACTGTTACGTTGTGACAGTAACTTCGAGTAGCCCCCCTGTTGTTACCAGTAATAGTACAATGGTAAGCAAAGTCGACGCAAATGCATCAGTCTGTCAACGCAAATGCATGAATATAAGCACATTTGAAATGGCAGAATGTGTGAAGCGATGGCACAAATGAGTGAAATTCGCCTCAGACAATTAGCTTGAAGTGAAAAACATCCCGTGAAGAATCCAGAGCAAGTGATTCGGTGTGCTGGATAAGTTGGCAGTTCATAAATTTTAAAATGCTTTAACAATTTTAGTATTATTAATATTATTATTAAATTATTTTTACCTCCAAAGCTGTCATTGCATATCAGCAGTGTCTTCTGGGGGCAAGTCATTTATTAAATAAGGAAAATACAAACGCAGCTTCTCCTATCGCCGCAAATTCCATTTTTCTTCTTGATATTTGGTGCAAGTTTATGAGGAAGTGATGATTTTGTTCTCTTTGACACATTTTATAAAAACTGTGCTTTATTTGTAAATTTTTTGTGCTTTAATCCAGTTAATTAAACAAATGTATACATTTAATTCGCATCTTTAGATAGAAACAAAGCTAATGATGTTCTCATTTGTTAAGTTGTCATAGTTGAGCACATATTTACGGTGGGAGAAAGGAGTATTAAACATGTCACCATTTTTCTTAGAAAACATATTTCTATAGGTGCCGTTGACTTGAAATGTTCACCGGATGTTGATAACAATGAAAAAAATCAACATATGCAAAGAAAACAAATCTAATTAGTTTACAAATGAAGTTATGCGAGATCAAATTAAATGACAATAGGAAAAACTGTTGAACACATGAAGAAAAGAAGGTTTAGAAAGGCAGTGAAAGCCCAGACAGTAGTTGAAATCTCTCAGTAGTTCTTCAGCAACCTTCTGCCCTTCGTCAGTGTAAATTAATATTAGCTGCTTCAGTCCAACATCGACATTAGTAGGATGATGAAGATGAAACGAGCGTGGACATTTCAGCAAGACAATGATCCAAAACAGCCAAGGAGACTCTCAAATGATTTCAGAGCCAGGTGACGGCCCAGCCAATCACCTGACTTGAATTGTTTGTGTTTTTACCAAAATCTGGTTCAATTCCATGTCAACAGCTGGAAAAAACACATGTGTTCAACACTTTTTTTCCCGCACTGTATGTTAGCTGGTCAATATTAACATGTGAACAAAGTTCAAAATAAATCTGATCATCAGATAAATCAATCTTGTGTCTTCCGAAGACTTCTGAAGATTTTTGTAATATGATTAATTATTCATTTTGAAGAGTCTTTGTTTGAGATATAGACTTTCAAACTAAATCTCATATCTGATTAAAAATATCTTGTGTGTACTGAAGATTTCATGGCTGTGTAATAGAATTAACTCCATAAGAACGCTTCACATTCGACTCTCCCCAGACCAAAACGATCTGAGCAATCCTATCCACTTTAATGTTATTACTCTATGCTCTTACTGTACGTCCGCGACTGACTCGTTTATAGCTATTTTTATCTCCAATGGAATTTTAGCTGAAACATCTGAGGCAAACACTTACATGAAACAGCGCTTAGAGCTGCATTAAGTCTATTGAGCTATCAAAGAGCAACCTCTGACCGATAAAAATGAAACGTCCCCTGGGCAATGTTTGGTGTGATGAGATGGATACGGCCAGCACATGATGCGCAGATATTAGTGTTTGACTAACTGAGAGGTATTAGCAGTGGAGGATGAAATCTAATCAGAGGCCAGAGACTTATGGATGTAAGAAGTGCTCTCTCTGCAAAACAATTGTTTTAAATGAGCTGAAAGGACTGCAGGGCTTCTGCCTCATATACTGAATACATTTTTTCTGTTTACAAAGGGCCCGCAGATTCAATCGATTAACTCTTGCCTTTTTCTCATTCTTACGTCTGTCACGATTGTGGATCTGTCTGCTCTTTTATGATGTGTCTGCGTATGTGTGATTGTCTATGTGTATGCGTGGTGCGTGTATATTTGAGTGTGTGTGTGCTTGTCTCTGTGTCTATGTGGGAGTCGCGTGTCTGTCAGTTGTGTTTACATGTCATCAGCTGGGCGGTCACGTGATCGCTGTCACCGGCTCCTGCCGTGCTTAGCACCGCTCAGCTGATTAATCAGCGCGTCACAGGTGCAGCCCATTATTGTACCTATATATGTTTGCCGTTCCTGTTTCACTTTGTCAGTTCGTTGTTCTCACTGTTGTCTGTGTCCTGTCAGGCTTTCGTCCATGTTTTTGCTGGTGGTGAGTGAGCAGAAGAGTTTCATGCCGTTGATCTTCTTGATCGTCTCTGTTGATGTCTTCGTTGGACTTTTGATCTTCTTAGTTGAAGGCTGCCCGTATTCAGTGACCAGCTCATGCACTTATTGAGATACTGTCTTCTTGCTACTCGCCTGTCATCCACCTTTCAGCTACCAGCTCTTGTGTTCATTTAATAAACCTTTTTACTTGCATTTGGGTCTTCTCGCCTCTGTTGTGACAACGTCAGCTCTATAAACTTTCAGATAAGAAAAAAAAACGAAGAAGCGTCTTTTTTTTTTTTTTTTTCTCGGAAATGACACCTGAACATCATTGTGGCATTTGAGCGCAAAGCATTGTTTACATAATTACATCTGTGCTTGTAGGTTATAATTTGCAGGCTTTTTTATATTTCAGTGTCTGTGGGAAACAAAGAACCATCTTTTGGCAAATAGATGGGTGGGTTGGCGGAGATATGAAGAAGTAAATGATATATAATCTTTGTATATTTCAGCATGCATGTCATATTTAGCCAAACTGTCAACTCATCAAATGTACAGTATATGAGGACAAAAAGATTGAGCACAAAAAACAATATAAAAACAATAGTCAAGATTTAACTTGTACTTAACTGTATACCCAACATGCTGTTCATTTTGTGATTGAATCACTTGAGTGCTCCTTTTTTATGAATCAATTAAACTGACTGACAAATCAAATGAGCTGATGGTCTAAATCAGTCAGGCAACTCATTTCCTCAATGAACATGCTGTGATTACTCCCTCGCTCAAAGACTGACTCAAATTGAAACCTGCTATTATGCTATGTGTGTGTTATAGTGGAAGCAATATTAAAGTGCAGTCTTCTAAGGTTAATGGAATTTTTAAAAATGGCCAACTTTCTGCTGACATGTTGATATCTGGTTTTCATGATAAAAGAAATGTAAAAATGAATATAAATTATAGATTAAGTTCTCAAAGATATGGGGTCAGCAAGGGTTATTTTGAAAGCCGCCTCAAATTGGATGTTCATATTTGATCAAACGAAACTATAATATTGTGAAATACTATTACAATATTAATACACTTACACATTTCCACAATTTCACATTTGTTAAACTATGGTAATATATTACAAAAAGCAATTGGTTTTCA